AGAGTGCCATGGCATCACGCTCACAGCAACCTCCAACTCCTGGGCTCAAGCGAGTCTCCTGCCTCAGCCTCCCAAGTAGCTGGGACCACAGGCACCCGCCCCAACGCCCGGCCATTTTTTGGTTGCAGCCATCATTGTTGTTTGGCGGGCCCGGGCTGGAGATTCGAACCCGCCACCTTAGGTATATGTGGCTGGTGCCTTAGCCACTTGAGCCACAGGCACCGAGCCAAACAGCATTTTCAAAAGAAACCCTTTGTTTTTTATTTCCCTGAGCTGTCTCTTCTGTGATCCCAGGGCCAGAATAAGAGCTAACATGTAACAGTTAAAACTCAAACCCCCTTTACTCACCACTTCTTGCAGCCTTGTGGGGCAGTTGCCCATCTCCCTTGGCCCCTGCTGGGTTGCCTGGACTCCTTTGATGCTCACATACTGGCTATGCTTTGGTCTCCCCAGGTATGAGAGTGTTATCGCCACACTGTGTGAGAACCTGGATTCCCTGGATGAGCCTGAGGCCCGGGCTGCCATGATCTGGATTGTGGGCGAGTACGCTGAGCGGATTGACAATGCTGATGAACTGCTAGAGAGCTTTCTTGAGGGCTTCCATGATGAGAGCACCCAGGTGAGCCAACTCAGACCAGTGTTTGAGTCATGACTGGCAACTCAGCTATGGCCTGATTTGCCCTGGAACCCTTCCCTCCTAATAATGCATTTACAATATAGACAGACGAGTGATAAATGGGTGGTAGGCATTCTCCTCCCCACTGCAGTACCTCACTGCAGTACCTCAAGGAGACATGTGGGACAGTCTGCAGTAGTGTGCATAGAAGGCAGCCAGAAGTTTCTGGTTTTGTTCTAATTTTATATTTATATTTCAATAGTAGTACATGACTTGGTTCAAAATTGAAAAGATACAAAAGAATGTATAGTGAAAAGTCTCCCTCTCTGGGCTTTCCTGGCCACCAGTTCTCCTCCCAGAAGTCACCAATGTTCTTGGTTTTGGGGAAAGACTTCCAGAGATCATTTAGGAATAAACCAACAGATACACATACCCTCTATACATACATATATGCAATCAGTCAGTTCTCATTATTCATGGTACTTTTGTTCCATGGTCACCACAAACAGTGTTAGCAAGGACTGAGCCAGGCTTCTAGAAGAAAGCCTGAATTTTGAATTATGTTCCTGTGATGGTCTGGACACACATCAATATGTAACCAATTAATATGTATTAACCAATCAATGTGTAATCTTGTTTTTATGTGTATTTTGGCTTAAAGACACTTTATTTAATATATATTTATTTGTTAATAGCAAACTTAGCAACAGCACCATAACATGTCTGACACACATGTATTTATGTGTGTTTATCTAACACACATGTATTATGTGTTTATCTAACACACATGTATTTTCTCTGTTAGACATGTCACACCTGCTTACACTTAGGGACATTAAACAGTACTTCAACACTATACTTTGGCCCTTTTTTTTTTTTTTAGACAGAGTCTTACTCCGTTGCCCTGGGTAGAGCATGGCAGCATCATAGCTCACACCAACCTCAAACTGTTGGGTTCAAGTGATCCTCTTGCCTCAGGCTCCTTGAGTAGCTGGGACTACAGGCACCCACCACAATGCCTCGCTAGTTTTCCTATGTTTAATAGAGAGGGAGTTTTGCTCTTGCTCAGGCAGGTCTCAAACTCCTCTCTAAAGCGGGGGGGAATATATATATATATAAGTCATGCTGTTACTTATTTATTTATTTATTTGTAGAGACAGTCTTACTTTACTGCCCTCAGAAGAGTGCTGTGGTGTCATACAGCTCACAGCAACCTCCAATTCCTGGGCTTAGGCAATTCTCTTGCTTCAGCCTCCCAAGTAGCTGGGACTACAGGCTCCCACCACAATGCCTTGCAATTTTTTTTGTTGTTGCAGTTTGGCCGGGGCTGGGTTCAAACCTGCCACCCTTGGTATATGAGGCTGGCATCCTGCCCACTGAGCCACAGGCGCCACCCCCTATTAATCTATTCTTTATTTAACCAGCCTCTGCTCATGTATATTTACATGTCTAGTCTCATGGGGTTTTTGTTTTTGAAACAGAATCTCACTCTGATACCCAGGCTAGAGTGCTATGGCATCAGCCTAGGTCACAGCAACTTCAGGCTCCTGGGTTTAAGTTATCCTCCTGCCTCAGCCTCCCAGTAGCTAGGACTACAGGCACCTGACACGATGCTCGGCTAATATTTTTCTATTTTTAGTAGAGATAGGGTCTCACTCTTGCTCAGGCTGGTCTCAAACACCTGAGCTCAAGCTATCCTCTGCCCTGGGCCTACCAGAGTGCTAGGATTACAGGTGTGAGCATTGTACTGGCCAGTCTTATGCTTTTTTTTTTTTTTTTTTTTGTAGTTT